AAATGCAGTTCTAACAGATCTAGCTGTGGAGTATTCCAACAACATCGATATCCTCAACAGTATATTAAGTTTGAAAACAAATACACTACAGCATTTAAAACTGACTCACTCATTGTGTGCTTCCCCAACTTTCTCACATTTCTGTGAAATGTTGAAGAAGAATAAAAAACTCCTTCAAATAGATCTGATGGATCCGAGTGGTTTGAATGACGAAGCCTGCATCAATCTTCTTCTGGACACTTTGAAAGATCACAAATCAATCAAGCATCTTAGTTTGCACATTCGAAATATTCGACCAACTGATCAAAAAGAAACCTCTTTAATGAAATCATTACAAGAACATGGATTTATTTCACGTCTTTGTATATCGTCATCACTTATCTCACGTGAATTCACAGAAGCACTTATTTATGCTTCAAAAGAGCAGAGTACGTTAACTTATTTGGAGTTTTATAATTGCAAAGTGAAAACAGATGATAAAGCAGAAATGCAATCGCTATATGATAATGGAAGTTTACCTCACCTGGCCTTCTATTCAGAGCCACGTTGGAATGTGTTATTAAAAGAAACAAATGGATCGTTAAATAGAGGTAAGAGAAGTAGCATCTTCACCGACAATGGTAGTTCCAATTTTCTGCAGCTAGTCACTTTAGCCTGAAGAGAGAACTTAGAACAGAATTGAATATGTTTTAACTGAGCCATAGTTTAAAAAACGGACTCAATATTTCTGAATGGAAACGAAGATCCACCTTTACCGGATGGTCTATAATAAACTGTGGTGTTAGTGTTTCGTAGAACCCATCGGGCCCAAGAATTTTTGGAACGATACTACTGATGATACTATATTTTGAAACTACTATGATGAAATTATTCAATTTAAAGTAGCGTATCTCACCTTTAATCTTTGAATTTTAATTTAAAGCCAAAACAAACATACCTTAAACTTTAACTTTGTAAAAAGTCCAAAGTAAAAGTATGTTTTTCAGAAAAAAATTGCAAAAAATCTTTCTTTTGTTAAAATTTGTTCTTAATGAAGAAACGCAAATTGAGGGTGTGGGGCTACTTTTTCTCTTCACCCATACCTTTCTTAGTTCGACTTTTTAGAGATGTACTTTTTTTGATCTCTTCATCATCAACATGAAGTCTAGTACAGTTCAATGTTTTCCATTGCTGTTGTCATTGTTATGACATGATCAGACATACTATTTGTTGCTGGCCGATTGTTGTGATATAGAAATAATAAAGATTATTATCTAATTTTAAAAACAATAATTATCCGTAGATTGTGAACGAACATGGGAAATGCTCAAAAATGATTGAAGTAATACATATATGATGAGTGAGAGAGAGAAATACTGAAACTACATTAAGAGGAACAGGCGTTTAGAAAACATTTTGAATTGGAGAAATGTAAAGAAATTCAAGAAAAAAGAAAGAATTGTTTATATTCGGTATTAATTATGTCATTTTTTTGACTGATAATATTATGGTCAATGAAATATTTAAAGCTATGATTTTTTTCAGATATATTAAGCCCATCTCATTATGATTGTCAATCTCATAGCTAGTATATTCAACAGTGACATAATTATGTAATTATTAATATCATTTGATGATAGTCGAACCATTCTACGTAGTAATTTTCGAAGTACCATATATCAGAATAGGAACATCAAACGAAATAGCATAAGAGATTGATAGTTGTTTGATCTCAAACACTATGAAGTAGTTTGTCGCCATTTATTTTTATGATTATATTGAAACTCGTGAAATTGTTATAATCTAGATATTTGTTTTTGACATGATTTTTCATTTGAATTCGTATAGGTCAAACATTCAAGGAAGTAGCTCTCTATTGATATTGAGATAACCCATAATCATGGTGAAGAGCAGGGTCAATTATGAAATATACTATAGCTATTTATTACAAGAATTTTTCTTATATTAGTTTTTGTACTTAAAAAATTGAATATCGTCAGTACATTTTATAGATATAAGACGAAATTGATTAATCATGCCTTTATGCCAATTCTAAAATAGAATGATAATAAAAATATATTAAAAAATTAGGGTAATTTATAGAAATATTCATGAGTTTCTTATGAGATAATGCTCTAAAATAATAGATTCGCTTTCTTATTACGATAGAAAATAAATCAAATGAATAAGATACAATTAGATAGAATAATCAATGCTCTACCAAATTACAAAAACACTTTTAAATAATTCTGATGTTCCTTAGAAATTGAGTAACAATAAATAAATCCTCCTGTAGAATTATGTTGTTTTTTAAAGATAAGTGTGATCAAGCACAAATAACTTGAATATTATCAATCAATTTTTTCTTCATACGTATGATATATTCTCAATAATAGATTTTTTTCTATATGCCGAGATGTTTATATTGTAGAACAAAATATGAAAAAATCTTAATTATATATGTGGAGGATAGACTTTGGAAAATGAGGATGAAAGGAGGATATTATTTATTTTGTTGTAAAGTGACATTTCAGCATCTCAGCATTTCAGACGGATTAGTGTGCTTGAGCATAATAAAATAAAGAACCTACTAAAATTTCTGATAGATTATTCTTGAATTTCTCAACCTCATCCTCAAAATAACGCTGTAACATGTGTCGAGAAAGTAGTTTACTGAATTAAACAGTCATCCTGTAGAGAAGAAAACGTTATTTTGGGTGTGGGTGTAATTTTTTTTCTTGACTACAGAAACGCTCATTTACCTGATTTTATTCATATTGATGACTGAGAAATCAAGATTTACTTAAAAGAAATAGGTATTACTGATTCGTGCCATCTGATCATAGAACCAATTTGTCTATGGGTAGTTTCAAAGCATGATATGACATGAAGACAGAGACTATACGATGACCTCGATGAAAATTATGTGAGATATATTTTTGTATAGTTAAGAAAATAATATATTGTTCTTGCGAAAAAATATACTAAACAACATATAGCCAAATTATTTTGGTCCAATGTAAATAAATAAGTTTTAATCTTAACTCGTCATTTAGTCATATTTCGTTCGTGAAACTCTTTTAGAACAACTGTTAGTGCAAAATTCTTAATCGATTCTTGTCAGTTAATATTATCTTTATTTTACCAATATGTGTTTTTTCACAGAAGAAGATATTATATTTATGTAAACTTTATAATATCTGCACTTATCAAATAAAACTTGATCTTAGTTATTAAGATATTTAATATCTCGCTTAAAGTTTCTCAAATTTCAAAGAATTTAAAGAGAAGAAAGCCAAACAAATTAAAGTATCGAAAAAATACTATGTTCATATTTCAATATAAACAAAATCAATATTTTGATTCTGAGCTATCTTCAGTGATAATAAATAATTATTCTCGATTCATTTTGTTTTTCGAAAAATAAAACAATTTCTTTGTAAAGATCTTATCATTTTAATAAGAAAATATCCGGCATAGGATTTACTATTAAACTTTGTCTTTAAAAAACAAGTCGTCCAATTGTGTTGTCAGAGTACACTTTATTCAGTTGTTTGATTGTTTTTAAAGTTTACGTCCTTGTGCATATGACATTAACACATAGTCCCGTACTGAACAGTACGAAATCTTTTCTCTCTCTCTCACGAGTATATAAGCTCACGATATATTGGGGGAATAGGGCAGTACTATAGCCCAGGACAATGATTCCTGAAGCAGTGTTCCGTGAATTTCCGGCGAAAACCTGCAAGAAACTCGCTGTTTCCGACCGGAACCCACCGGGAATTGTCCGGAATTCGATGCAGGAATCCGGAAACCGTATCCGACTACCAGTTTGACACGTTCCTGTCGATTCTGGCCGGAACCGAATAAATCCGGTCACCGGATCCGTTCACCGGAATACTGCTTCCATGAGCAGTCATCCTATTCCGCAATTGGTTCATCCGATTCCGCAATTGGTTCATCCGATTCCGCAATTGGTTCATCCGATTCCGCAATTGTTTCATCCGATTCCGGAATTAGTTCGTCCAATTCCGGAATTCGGTGAAAGCGGAGTCACTGGGAATTCCTAGGAATTACACGGAATTGCTAGTAATTCCGGAATTGCAACTTGTATCACTATTCTAGCTTGTCTTACCCATTTCGTGATGATCCGATTCCGGTCCGGAATTGCATGATGTGGGTGTTGCCATAAGTGTGGGTGTGGATGTTAGTGTGGGTGCAATGAATTCCGGAACCGTTGGGAATTAGGTGGAATCCGTTTGAGTTCCGTGTAATTCCGGAATTGAATCGGAAGGGATAAACGGAATTCCGGGAATTAGATGAAATTGGTCGGCAGTGATTCCGGGAATTCCGGAATTGTGTTGGAAGTGGTAAACGAAATTGCGGGAATTAGATGGAATTGGTTCCGGAATGTTTAACATTGTGGAATAGGATGTATTCTCGCTTGCATGAAATCTCCGGAATACCACAGAACCGGCCGTTTCCGGGACCGGAATGTTCGACCTGGGGTCACAACGATGGCATCTTGAATGTCCTTACAGATTTCTTGACGCTTAGATATGCACCGCGCTTCCCCGCATGAGAGCCGCGGTTTTCTTAAACGTGGTTTTTGAAACCGCGTTTAACCGTTTTGTAGAACATTACACTTTGGATACATGAAAGAACCTCAAACAACTTTTCCCAGATTTTTGTGGTTTGCTCATTATATAAAATGAGTTTTGCATTATGTGAACCCATGTCATAGAAATCGCGATTAAATCGCCAAAACTGTCGATTTTTGCCGATTTTGATAAATAATCGCAATTTTTGCGCGCTGTTTTTGCTTGAATATTGATTAATCAGTAATGTTATGGGTATATTTTAATACATAGTATGCATGTGTACTACTTTTTCTTCGTTTATTACTAATAAGCTATTGTTCGGACAATACGTTTCATGAAATTATGAC